GGTTCCTGGGAAAGCCACAAAAAGCGAATCACCACGTGGGACACGGCCTTTTTGTGGGTCATTTCGGGTTCTCCATCGTTTTGGGCTGCAGATTTTTGACCTGGAAGTGCCACATCACAAGGTTCTGGACAGGATATGTCTTTTATGTCAATGGACCACAGGCAACACCATATACCCTGAAGTTGTTCGACAATCGGACACTCACCATCCGGGATCACATTTATCCCTTGGATGATTTGTTCTGCTTTGTGAACGGCTGGTACTCCTTGGACAGGGCTGCGATTGTGCAGAATTTCAGCTACCTGGAAGAAGTTTCGGAAAGGGAATGCAAGAACTTGGACGCCTAGCCAGGAAAAGTGGTCAACTTTTCACATATGTAAGGTTTTGGTTGCCCTATGTCGCCATGAACCGATTGAGAGTTGTTTTGTTCATAGAGGCGCGGCCTGTCAGGAAGAGACCTTTCCAGGATACTTCAACATCAGCTACAATGACTTTTCCAAAGAATCGGATGATGATGAGGCTCTCTTGGAAGCTTTGGCCAGAGAGGGTGGTGGCTTCATCTCAGAAAAGGTCGTGAAGGGCATGCGCCTCCATGCGGCCACCAAGTGTCTTTTCAGAGGTGGGGAGCGAGACTCGTGGGTCATTCGTCACGGAAGGGTAGCTTCAGGGATTTGCCTTACCCAGAGGGTCCAGACCCCTCCATATGAGGGTCCGACCCCATCATATGAGGGTCCAGGAGCGTCTGGGTAGTTCAGATAGCTTTAAAGCTGAAGGGGGAATCCTCCCACAACCTTTGCAACGCGCAAGTCTACATAATATGGATGCACTGACCTGGTCCGATGGGGTTTGTATCCAGCTGGTTGACTTCATATACCTCTCTACTTCATGCAAGTCACCTTCACCCACTTCATTCTTGCTTATCCCATGATTCTTTCTGCACGAGCTTCTTCCTTGTCCTCACGCTCTTCCTCATGCATATTCCCATTCATGTTCATCCTGGGGCTGGTTTTGCTGCTGCTGCTGCTTCACTGGGCTCGCGCGCGCTCATGCGCCGCAACACACCTCCCACCATATTCCACCCAGAGATTCTGCTGGCCAAATCCAGGCGCTTCAGTCTTTGCCGGCACCCCTTCGTAGACTTTGGACTGCAGCCATATACCCGTTCCTGGTGTTTCCCTTCCCCCATACCTTTCTTCCTCAAGTTGCGTGAAGTTTTGTAGTGAAATTCTGGTTTTGTAGTGAAGTTTTGGGCCAAGGCCAGGCGTGATACTGTATCATGTCATTCCAGTGTTTTTGTTACTTTAACCTAAGAACCCGTGCCGCCGCTACCATGCACCATTTTGTTGTGTTTTCCTCATTTCTTGAAGATTTCTTGTAGGTCCACTCTAGTTCGTTTGACCAACCGGCCGGCAGGTGGAGGTCGCGGAGCCGTTTGTGACTTGGCCAACTGCGCCGAGCGCGGCTGCCTGGGACCGAACAATGAGGTCCTCTACACGGTGCGGGGCGAATGTGAATCCGTTTGGCCCAACCGACCTTTGCGAGTCATCGGCAGATAGCAGATAGCGTTTCCATGATGTAGATGGCCACCGACTAGGGAGGATGGCCACGACCTATTGGAGGGATGGCCAGCGGCCAGACTCCACAAATTTGTAGAGCGTTGCAGATGGTGCCAAGGCTTGTGGTGAGTCTCCGCACAGTAGAACGTGCGAAGACACAGCCATTTCGACCGTAGTGCCGCTGAGGAAAAAGGCCTCAAAGATGATCCTTCATCCGTCAGCTTGGTTCAACACATACTCTGACTCACTAAAATGGTACTGGTATATACACCGGCCTTGCTCCACAAGGCAAGCTTGCTCTACCAACTAAAGAGGTTGTTCCACGGAACGCTCGCCCCCCTTGGCTGCACTGGCGCGTGCACACTGTGAAATGGAGATGTTCCACATTGTTCCACCCGAGCTTCTCTCTGGTTCCGTGAGTCTTTGGGGCAGGTCACCTGCAACCCGTTGGGAAGCCAGCGCTTCATGGTTTAGTGGGAAGCCATTGCATGGCAAGGAAGAGGGATTCAGTGGTGCACTGAGTGGAGGCCATCGCTAGGAGGTTGGAGGCCGTCGCTCTTTGAGTGGAACCGCTGTGCCATGCATCCACCCGGTAGTAGTATCGACCCTCGGCCAAGGGAGATCGAACAGTGCCGCAGACTGAAAAAAAGCATCCAACCTGGGTGAATCATGGTGCAGGTCTGGTGACGGTGAGCTACGATCGTAGCTTCTTGAGGAAAGATTTCTCCTACAATACCTTCCGGGAGCTGAAGCTACAGGGAAAGAAGATCGATGCCCTTTTCATCGATCATGTGACGCTGGATCTGCAAGAATGTGCGAAACGAAGGATGGTGAAGGCGTATCCGTTAACAATACTTGCAACTAGTTGTCATGTTAATACCTGCAGCTAGGTCAAACTATCTCAACTCAACCGCTCCATTTATGGCACATTGATATGCCTACATCGGAGTGGTTGAAAAGGGGTCAAGTATAGGTAGCTACTCCATGCTACTCCATATTTTGGATAGGGTTTTCTTCGACGACAGGAAGAAGGCTGGATTCTGGCATGCCCGGGTGAACCTGGATGAACTTCACAGGTGATCAAACTGCAGCACAGCGAGAAAACCCTGGAGGGTGAACCTGATGTATGGCTGTATAGGTTTGCAAAACTCCAAGCCATTGAATATTTGAGCACCCCTGCCAGACTCTAGACCTAGACCTTGACCTGGCCAGAAACGAACCTCGGCCGGTGGGTTTGCCCACTTAAACCCATGTTTTCTGGGGAGAACGCCAGATGTTTCAGGAAGAAGTTCTACCTCTCTGATTTGAAGCTGGCTTTGCAACTGGATCTCTTGGCCCAAAACTGCGTGGTGGTGGCCGACAACATCCTGTCGCCTGGCGCGCCGGACTACAAGAGTTTCATGTTCTCAGAGGCACGTACACCTGGCATGCCACTAGGAGGGGTGGCAGGTGGAGAGGCAAAAGACAAGCCTCAAACATCAGAGCCCCTTTGTGATATGTATACTGACCACTTGCAAGAGCAACACCTATTTGGGTGATTTATTAATAAGAGGTAAGAGGTAGGGCATGGTTGTTTGGACACTGACAGTCAGCATGGAGAGAAGGCCCCCAGCATGTCAAGACTCAAGACTAGATTCAGATCCGGTGTGAACTGGGACCCTTCCGTGGGCACGGATGGTCAACACAGGAGGGCCGCCAGCTGTTCAAGACTGAAGTGCACCAGCTGCACGTGGAGCAGCGAGATTGCAGATGGATCGGGTTGCCGAAGGAGGGCACTTCAGTCAACGGAGCTTAAGAACATGCGTGTGGTCAAGCAACAGGATGATTCCAATGATGGTCAAAGATAGATTTACCCTTTGACTTACTAACATGGAAGTGGATGGCACCACCTGTTTGCAGAGGATTTCATGGTCATCCCAGTGGGCCATGCCATCCATTTCCATGTCATGTGTTCGGAGTGTAACCGGACGGGTGGGTGAGGGATGACGCCAGTCACTCTGGATCAACACCTCGGGCTGAGACATGATCATGGAATCCCGGACAGATGGTCACGACGCCTCATCAGTCGGTCAGTCCCAGTACAGCTGCAGGACTCAGTCGGTCAGTCCCAGTGATCCACGATCGAGATCGAAGGGCCTGCAACCTACAGTGACCATCATCGTCATCATCCACTGGGCCCTGGGCATGGGATATATATACCCAACTTATGTATTTTGCCTTGGAGATCCTTGGGGAATCTTAGAGGTTAGGGTGTCTATTGACAACTTTTCCGATTCCTCTCAGTGGTTGTCCTTCTTCAAGAAACCTAGCCTACAGAGATTCACCGGGTGAGGAGTACTGACTACTAAGCATTTTCAGAAACGGACGATCTTAGCTCAGGCTCAAACCCTGCGGTTCGCTGAGGTACATGCCCACCTGGCCAGATGAAGTGCTTGTGAGCACGTTTTTGGGCGCAAGTTAGGCTCCAACTGCTGGAGCCGGCCGGGTACCCCAGCAGCTGAAGCAAGAAGATGCAACATTCCGGGCAAAGAGCCCCAGCGAAGACAGCATTCCCAAAGATCGATGTGCGCTTCCTATGGTGCTTCCGCAATATCCCATGATCCCTTTTGGTCCTTGGTCTTGGCAGAAAAAACAACACATCGTCAGAGTCACCAGATCGACTAAGCCCAAGTTGCTGTAGACTTTTAGAAAATCGGGTCGGGTCTTTGCTCTCAGGTCGGTCGTTGTGTCACTTCTCGGTCGTACAGCTGGAGTAGAAGTGATCCGGGCCGCAGACCGGGAAGACTCCGCGAAGACAGGTAGGTCACCGCGCGTTGACTCCAGAAAAGGAAGCAGCAGACTGGTGGGTCATGAATTTTGGCGAGGGAAGGCTGGAGAAGCTATATAAAGTATGTTAAATTGTCATCAAACTTGAGAAAGACACCCGACCCTTAATATCAAAGAGCTTCTAAGTTAAGATTCACACATTTGTAATTTGGAATCATGCTTAGTGATTCTAGACGTTCCGTGGCAAAGGGCTTAGGACTCAGAAGCCAGTGGCTTGTCTCGCATCCACCCTCCACGCGGTCAAGAACAAGGTCGACATCAGCCGCATCGACCTCGGCCGCTGTCCGCTCAGAGCCCCTCATGAATTACGCAAATACTCCGCTGAAGGAAAAGCCTGGACTCTTAAAACCACTGGATTGTAGAGCTGGTTTGTGGATCAGGGTGCATGCGAGTTTTTGGGAGTGTCATGGGTTATGTGGATGGCATAGACCTGAACGGATGACCATTTTCCGAATACCACACGCCATCGCCTTCCATTTGTGTGACTTGGATTTGCATAAGTAATTTGATTGGATCATAGGCTACTGTTGGTAAGACCACCGCTTTGCAAAGAAAAGTCGGTCGTTTTCCCAGGGACCAAAGCTCCAAATCGATGTGTTTCTCCGTGTTTCACCGCAGGAGGCGTTGCAAGTGAACCTGGTGGCGCCGGTGGCGTTGATGCAGGTGGGGAGGGGTGCTGGGCGGCAGCACCAGCTCAGCTGTGACCTCCCTCCCGCGACGTGGAAGATGAGGCCTTCGGCCTTCCCAGCGCTGGCCAACGAAAAGCATCCTACACGTTCCGATCTGAAAGACCAAGGCTCCTAAGATCTGAAATCGGCACCTAAGCAATGACTTACACTCCCGAAAACTAACATGGTTACGTGGATGGCACCACCTGTTTGTAGTGGATTTCCATGGTCTTCCAAGGGCCATTCTCCACTTCCATGTTAGTTCCAGGGAGTGTACATCATCCCCCACTCTCCCTGGTGATCTTGGCCCATCTTCCCCACTGCGCTGAGGCCTTGCTCCCACGTCTCCGCGCGGGCGGCGGCCGTGTACTGCACCTGGGCACCTCTGTTGCCTTCCAACCGCAGAAGGGCACTGCGACGTGCGCCGTGCACTGAGTTCCGGGTGTTCCGGCGTTCGCACGGTGCAAAGGCGTTCGTTGCCGCGCGCGAACGAATCGTGCTCGTGCGAGAATCTCGTCAATATCGAAAGTCAATTCTTTGGGCATGCCGCAAAGATAGCTCAGTGAAGGATTTATGTAATTTTATAATAAGTGTTAGATCTAGGGTAACAGTCGGTAGACCTGCTGATCACGATTTTTTGAGATGGAAAGGCCTGCAACCAAACCATCATCATCCACTGGGTCCTTGGTAATAGGATATACCCATTCCCATTGTTCCGGACAGTTCTTTGGGCTCCTGGCCTGGTCTCTTGGCGTCGGTGCCCAGAAAAGCTGTTTCGGGTGGCCAGAAAGGTGAGCACAGCCGACCTCGGATCGAAAGCATCCGACCGCTCGTACCGTCACGGAGCACGCGGCACACCACGCGCGCGTTTGCGCCAACGCGTGGCATCGGAGGTATGGCATTACCAAAGCGGCCTTTCATCGTTTGTACCAGCAGCTCAACGCCGAGCCGAAGCTGTGGATGGGTGTCACGGGTGCCCCGGGGAAGGAGTACAGTCGACATGGTGTGGGTGGATAGGCTTCATGTTATAAGAGGATATGGGTATAACACAGACACACTTATGTCAGATCTCAGGTAGGATATGGGTATAACACAGACACACTGATGTCAGATCTCAGGTTTCCCAGGCAGCAATTACGAAGAACAAAGTGAGTTTATGAGGTTGAGGGGGTGGTGTGTGTGGGGCAGAAGGGTGAACCCAGTTCCTGTTAAGGGAGCAAAAAAAAGGAACCATAAACGTCAGTTGTTTGTGGAGGGCCGTGGCGGTGTTTCCTTTTCAGCTGAGGGAAGTGTGTAGACCAAGTGTGTAAAGAATGTTTGTGTCTGCGTTTTTAAAACCCTTAGAATCACAGGGAATCTTTTGATTTTTTTTCTACCTTGTTCTCTACAGTAAACTCAGCGCAACAACGCTATGCCTTGGAGCGGGAAGCACGGATTGATCACCTGCGTGCACCTGCATCTTAACAAGTGTGGCGTTCTGTAACTACCTTCCCCTCTAGATGACCAGGCTGTTTCAGGTGACTTTGAGGTCTGCAGACTTGCATGTGACGTCGATCGTTTGCACTGCTCGAATCTTTGGAACTTTGGCAGAGCTCTGGAATCTTTCATTTTCAGACCGCTATACATATATATACCTTATCCCTGGTACTCTTAGGCTTTCACACCTAGTTGGGCGTGTGGCCTCCGGCATTCCATTTCAGTACGCATTATCTCGAGTGTGTGTGGTGGGTGGAGGGTGGGGGGGGGCTGGGGGGGAACGCAGATCTACCCAGATCAAAGGTATTTGCGCACCATCCACTAAGATTCCACAAGGGTTGAGTTGAGCCGTTTTGGGTGGAAAAAGGGGCGGAAGGCCATGCCTATCCTGGGTTCCTGGGGCAACATGGCCACCCTCAGCTGGGTTGAGAAAGTCTGAGCCCTTTCCCAACTCATGCCCAGCTGCCCAAGCACACCAGTTTTGAGAGCCAGCAGCCTTGATTGAAGTCTTTTGATAGGCGACTTTAGCATTACTTTCATTAGAGGTTGGTTTCCAGGATTGGAAAACCACTATGATCAAGTGTTCACTCACAAGCTGGAGCCCAAGGAGTTGATTCGCACCATGTTCCTCTTGTATGCCATGTATTGCCTGAGGCCTTTTGACCACACGACTAGGCACTTTGAAAGCTTGAGTGCCCTTGGACAAACAAGAGAAGGGCTTATCCTCGGGTGAAACTCTGGTCCTAGTTCACCCTGCTCCTGCTTTCTTAGAGGCCCTTCCCGCCGGTGGTGTCTCTCACCTAGGAAGACTTGGCCGTGCCCGTGGGATCACTAAGCCCAGGCGGGGTGGTTAACCCATGTTAACCCTGACGGAAGCTGGCAGAGGATATTAACAGGGCTGACCGAAAAAGGCACGCAAAGCCAGGAGTGGGGTTTCCCCACATCAAAGCCAGGATATGCCGTGGGATCTCTGGGTTTGATGTCTGCATGAACATGGAGAGGTTGAAGAACCTGAACTAGACTATCCTACAGGTACCCCTGGTGACGGGTCCTAGTTCAGGTCACTTAACCTCTGTCGGTTCTGGGGGTAGGGCATTGTTTTCTATTTTTGGCTTGTTGGCATGTCTCAAGTCACTTCGCCTTTGCAGGATCATCGAGAGATGGTGGCAAAGCTTCTGGAAAGCTATCCCAACCAGAGGACCCAGAACATATCAGACACCCTACTGCCCCCCCTCAGAACTCAGAAGGCTCAAGTGCCCAAGACATGATGCATTTTGCGGGGAAGCCTTTTTGGTAAATCGCCAGACCTGGGAATTGAGCTTATTCGAGTCCTTGGAGGCTATGCACGAACAAGCATGGAAGTGGAAAAGACTGGAAGACGATGAAATCCGAATACCAAACAGGCGGTAAACTCCACTTCCATGAAGATGTTCTGAGAGTGTAGTGGCTATGGATCAGGATGTAGATCCTAGTTGATGGACCAGAACCAGTCTTTTTGACACCCATCCGAGATAAGTCCCTAGGGCTCCAACCATATGCTCAGAAGGTGGTTAGACCCCCAAACCCACCCCAACCAACTTCTCAGGAGGTGGTTGGAGCCCTAGGGAGTGATTACCTCTAAAGAATGAGTCAGCTGGATCTTGCAGCCGTGTCCGCCGCCAGGTCTAGTCGACACGGAAGGGGTTCAGGACCATGTGGCCAAGGCAAGGCGATTAGAGCTCCCGCACGTTGCTTGGCAGAGTGGTTCGCTCTTTGCGCTGGTTGGGGGCTTTTGGCGGTGCCGAAGAAACGGGGTCTGAAAAGGTGCCGATGTTGTGACCTCGTTGCCGGGCCGCCCTTTTTTCAAGGAGATGTTGCTCAACTCCGCCAGGTAGCCACAATCCACCACATACAGTAGGGGGTAACGGGTAGAATGAGTCATTTTCCTGGACTAACAGGCCCGGGATGTGCAAATGCTTGAGCCTGATTCAATTCGACCGCTGACGAACTCGAGATGTTCGCGACCCCGAAGTTCCCGTTCCACTGTGGTGGCTCTCAGGAAGTGAACTGGGTGGTGAACTGAATAGTTCAGAGATGTAACCACTCAAGTGGTTTCAGAATATTTCAGAATATTGCACCCACTGACTCATGGTTTTTTTTTCCATGACTGGAAGACCACCCACCATGTTTCTCGGCGGTTTGACTCGCACCCAGTCCAAGTCAATCAGCCAAGGTGAAGTACTTTGATCAAGCCTTTGAGAAGGCCGGCAGCTGTAGCGAGACATCACAAAAGAATCGAAAACATGTTCAGCAACAGTACCCGGTCCTGCCCGATCGCCGGTGAAAAGCCCACCCCGGTCGATGAAATTCATTCCCCTCCGAGCTCCGTGCGAGGAATTCGGTGATTCCGGAGATCGTTCTTGCAGTTTTCTTTCGAGAAAAGCATGTTGTTCGTATGAATCGTTTGAACCCGACCTGCGGTCCACAAAAAGGGTACGGCGTTAGGGTCATGGGTCGGAGAACAAACGCCGCAGTGGCTGGTATATCATGAATTAACGTCACACACCCCAGCTTAGGTGTACTGACTTTGCAAGGCGGCCCTCATCCACACCTTCCTTTTCGCACCACCGGCCGCTAGCAACGGTCGTGCATCGCTATACTAGCAAGGTGCACCGCTACTAGTAACAAGGTCATTACCAATGCATTACTACTAGTAATAAAAAAATACTACTGAACAAATACCACCAAAGTACCTCCGAAAATGGGTACAAGTACATGTTTTTATGGGGTCATGTCCCATTTTCTAAGGTACTTTGGAGGGTCCAGGTATTTGCTACTAGTAGTGATGCACGACCGGGCCATCTTCGCATCACCGGGCCGTCTTGTCGCATCGCTCGCGATCGCTGAGGGTTGGACGACGGACATGAAGCAGCTGATGGCTTTTGTGGATTACTTGCTGCAGCGCCAAGTCTTGGCACTTTTTGCGTGGTGTGCGTGAGATGGATTGGAATGAAATGGGATGACCTTTTTCGGTTTGCAGCCTGGTACTTGTATTTAACTTTCCTGGCATTCGTTGACGGCTTATTGCACGCTTGAAGCCTCATGAATGCATTTAGGTATTGGATCATCCTAATCGTCTGATGTTAAACGAAGAAAGCCACCAGAATCCTGCTGTCCGACAAAATCCTTCTCGGGCTACCTCATTCTTCATTCGTGCATTGTGCATTAGTCCCGAGATTTTCGAGAGAACCCCAAGTTGGAGCCCCTCAAGATCCGCCATCGATACTAGGTTGGAGGCCATCGCCATCGCTCTTGGGTTGGAGGCCATCGCTTCTAGGTTGGAGGCCATCGCTCTTGGGTAGGAGGCCATCGCTTCTAGGTTGGAGGCCATTGCTAGTAATTAGAATGCAATTGGAATTTCACTGAGACAGTTCGCCTTCCAGTGTTCCAATCGGTTGTCACCGACGCCCGCCGCTTTGTGAAGCACCTAGGCTGCCTGCGGAGGAGTTCACGGCTCGCGAGTGGCGCTTCAGCGAGTGGCGCAAGCAGGCAGTCCAGAGGGTGGAGCTGCGATCCATGGAAACGCCAGGGTTTTCAGTTGGATTCAAGGATTTTGTGGTCCAATTGCATGTAAATATCTTTGGGTTGGTTGAACAGTGAAAATGAGTGGGCACGAAGAGCCAGACCAAGGTACATGTCAGGATGAACAGTCTTAACCTGTCCTAATGAAATGCCAGTGTTTTCCTTGCTTTTCATTCGGATGCTTGAAATGGGGCTTGTGATTGTCCAATAGCCAAAACACCCAATTTTGGCGGCAATGTTTTTGGAATTCTCGGCATTTTTTGTTAGCTTCCTTGAGATTGGCTTTCGATGGACCCAGCTCCTTTACCTGTGAATGGTTTCTTGTCAGGGTAACAACCATCTTGCAAATCTCGGAGGCTCCAGGACGACGTTTTGAAGATTCCTTCCGGGGCTCAGACTTCCACCACCGCGCAGGTGGAAGCAATTTCCTTCCGCGCACCGAGTGGAGAGACAGGAGAAACAGGAGAAACAGGAGCCGCACGTGGAGTGTGGGGAGGTGCGAGGGGAGATGCCAGGAGCCATGCTGGAGCCCCAAACGATTCCCATTGGATGGCAGAATAGATGGTAGAATGTGGCCAGAGCAAGGTTTTTTTGTATAAGGGGTGGGCCTGGGACTGCAGACCCCCAACACAGTGAAGTTCACGAAGAAGTTACCATCTATCAGCCCAGTAATGATCGTAGCTCATGTAGACTCTTGATGAATAACCTCCCCATTAGGATTGTTCTGCCTTGGATCCAAGAGACGGGCAGTCACTGGTGCTGCGTTCAGTCTATGGCTTGCTGCGAGTCGACGGGCAGGTCCGCTGGGTCAAGGTCCGGTCGGCTGAGGTCGGGCCAATGGTGGAACTCCTTCATCGATCGAGGATAAGGAGGCATGTTCCACCATCTGCGAGGATAGGGGAGAAGGGCAAGAACGACATGTGTATTGCTTGGTCATGGGAAAGCACTCTTGTGGATGGGTGCATGGATTTGTTCGGTTTTATATATATACCTTCTGAACCAACAACCTGCTAAAAGTAAGGATGTCGGTTGAGAACCCGACTGTTCCTTTCAAAACCCGGGTTTGATATTTTGACTAAATTCCTGATCCTCCCTGCTCACGTCTTGCTGATGTTTGGGCTCCTTTTTGGGCTTCCCGGACGCCGTTGGCTTCATCAGCCAAAAGTGCCAGGAGCTAAGAACCCCTGCAGTTGCTTCAGCTAGTTTAACTTCTAGCTATGCATCCAAAGACTCAAGACTCAGCAACGGCGGATCCTTGATCAATCCAGCCTTGTGATAATGGGCAAGGACTACTGCCAAGGCACGTTGCAAGGTCCGAGTCACAATTTGTCGGCAATTGACACGCCTACTAATGCGAGAAGGCCGCCCAATGAAATCCTCTGCAGGCTGGCAAGAACAATGCAAAGGACTCAAGCAATGCTGCGCTGCCTGACTTTGCTCCAAAAGGTCCACCCCCAGGTGATGCAATCTGTGGTGGTTAGGCATCAGGGGAAAAGCGACCGACGTTTCTGCCAGGCCAGGCTGGCCCCTCGACCGTACAAACGAAGGTGTTGAAGGGCATGATTTGCCAGCAGTCTTGCCTCATTGGCTGGAATCCAAAGCTCGTGTTTGTAGAGGCCTGAAATGAACAGGTCAGCCTCCACAGTCGCTTGGAAAGCAAGGTAAAGCAAATCATTGGCCCGCACAACCTCAATGTTTTGCCTGCAAATGTGCAACACCCACTTTGCAATGGATGTGGTTGTGTGTCCCTTGCTCCATCCACCAACTGGGGTGTTTGTGGAAATCTGCATGCCCAACGTCTCCTTTGTAATCTTCTTGACGTAAGGTCGATGCTTGTTCTGCCGGCACCATGCAATAAAGTCATCGCTGGCTGCCCCAATCCTCACATCGATAGAAGAGCCCGGGAAAAGGTCACTCGTTGCTAGAAGAATGAAGGTCGTAGAGAGCAGGGACTTGCCAGCACCCATGTGCCATGTATGAAACAAGTCGAAAGTGAAATACTTTGTCTTGTCAACCCGGTCCATGGGCAAAATGAACATTGCAGGATCAGCTTTGAAGGGAGATACTGTGTTCACTGATGGCAACCACGGTGGGTCTCTGCTCTCGAAGTCTTCCCAAATCCATCCAGGGCAGTCAGCTAAGCAGCGGTGGCAAATACCCTTGCTTGCAGCGTTTTGCGTGGTGTGCTTGGCAATGTTCAAGAACGATCGAGAGAGTAGTCCAGCTTTCTGGATGTAGGGCCAGTCCCCCATAACGCTGATTGGACAGAAGTACACACGTTGTCCATCCAACGTGGTCACGCCTTCATCAAAAAGCACCCGTAAATCATCCGACACACCCCGCATGATGTCCTGAAAAAGGTCATCGCTGCTAGCATAAACAGCACGTGGAGCGGCAGCCAACAAGAAGCGGGTGCACCATGTGCTTTGTGTGTAGTTCAGATTCTGCGGAAGGCGGGTTTTCTTGGATGCACGAGATTTCCTGAGTCCATAGCCCAGAATGCTGCACGCCGAAACTATCAACATCGGTAGTTTCTTTTGACTCCTTCCTTCATCGCCGTGGACCATTAGGCCAACAACTTGCCCCAAGTCAAGGCCTTCGCGCTCTCGACTGAAAATTTCGTGACGAGGATTCACGGCCTTGTACCTGTTCCAGAAAAGGCGCCAAACATCAGACACCCTGTCAGGGTCAGGCTCTGCAAGCCCAGCAAAGCGGTACAAGAGGTTCTTGTCTGCCAGGTATCGAGCCCAATCCGACATCTTCAAAAAAGGCAGCTGTTGTTCACCCACGGTCATTTCAGACAAAGGAACATCGGCAGCAAGCTGAAAGTCTTTGATGAGCTTGTGGGTGTCACGCTCTGAGTGGGACAAAGAGCAGCGAGCAAGGGCACCTATGCTACTCCCGGACGCCGCTGGCACTTCTTCAGTAAACCCCCTGGCTGTTCTGATTGCCACTGCACAAGGCACCTAGGCGCATTGCAAACAGGTTTAAAGTTTAAAACTGATGTTCGAAGTCAGGCTGGCACAGAAAGAGATCACAAGCATTCAAAAGCCTTTGAACATGCTTCAATCTAGATTCTAGCAAGTTCATCCATGGTTGCGCTGAGCACTGGGGAAGGCGCCCCCCTCACCAACATCGGCGATCAAGCCACGGAGCCCAGGCCCAGCACCTGGCTTCTTAATTCTCAAGAACAAATCATGGAGACCAATTGGGGCTACAAGTGCAGCCATGTGCCAGCTCAATCGAAAAAAAATCAGCCCGCTGCTTGCCTTTTGATGTCTCGATCGGTGAGATCGCTTGGATCTCAGACCCAAAGTGATTCAACCACACGACAGGTTCCCCGGCGCCGTATGGCTAAATAATTTCACAAAAGCGAAAGGAAGGCGAAGGATTTCTCGTAATTGGCAAAATGCCGAACAAGCCAAAAAGCAGGTAGTTCCCGCTTTCGGTCACCACGTCAAGTAGCTTCGCTGCGAAAAGGGCAATATTGCAGGAGGTCAAACAAAATGGACAACTGGAAAAAGGAGAAAACATATCCACATGACCTTCAACATCCTTCAACTATTGTGTTTTCTATGATTTTTCTTTATGCACACTCAATGCTAGTGACTCTAGGCAGAGAAGCTACTTTTCTTTGTGAGCCTTTGCCTTGCCAGCAGTCTGGTTTCCGTTTTTCCTCTTACGAGGTGGTGCATCAGACTTGTCCTTGCGCTCACCACCCTTTTTTCTCCAAGAATGGTTTCGATTTCCTTAAGATGAAGTTGCACGTCAAGATGAGGCTGCATGCCTTCGGAAATGCCAAGGCTGGAGCCGAATCTTCAACTCCAAGGCTGCTGCGCGACTCGACCTGCAAGCTGTGGTGGGCAAACCACACGTCACGAAGAAAGGATACAAAGTGTTTTGAAAACAAGTCACCCTTTTGATTTGATGTTTTGGGCCCCCCAGCGAATAGGTGGCTGACTTCATTTGCTTTTCAGCTTTGCCCCACCACCTCAGAGTAAATAATTTTCTGGGTTTGGCAAAGCTAGTCTGGTACACGAGATTAAGGAGCCTACTCCTTTCCAAAATCAGAGTTCTCTCCCTCGGCTACAAGATCGTTCAGCTTGTCAAACTCAGTGTCCAAAGTCTTGATGTTGTCGTTCAGCGACTTGGTATACCTGGAAGTGGCAGGAGTCATTGAAGCGTTGTGCGATGTAGTGAGTCAAAGGTGGCAGCTACCTACACACAGCTACCGAACTCTTTTTCTTGGATCTTCAAATTTGATACTGGGACTCCAGCGATGCAGTGGATTCTTGGGTGAAGTTGGCGTTCAAGTCTTTCAAGCACGACTTCAGCTTTGTAGCTTTGCCGAGCAAGGAATCCATGAATCGCTTCACATGCAGCTTGTTCTACAGGGAGGGAACACAAGTTTTACTGCATCAAAAAGAACGGCAGAGTATGAATGTGGGATCAAGCTAGACCCCCTACCTCAGACATGCTAGCAGCATTGTCAGCCCCACTCGCAGCAAGATCAGACCCACGTTCTTTGTAGGCATTGACAGCTTTAAAAGAATCTGGCGCAATCTCAAGCTTGGACTCTTGTGCCTCACAACGTGTTGAATCGAATATGGCTGATTTTTTTAAAAAATGCATAACAGTCAGACTGTGATTCGTAACATTCACTTCAAACAGTTGCCTGCTCCCGTGAGCGCTTTGTCTCGAGAACCTCCAACGACTCCTCATGAGATCCGCTTTCGCGGACGCAGACCCAATACTCCATGACACCGTCGTAGCAGTTCCGCCTGAGGCAATCTTTGGGCCAGCGCTCCAACAAGACGGACACTCGACACTCAAGGCCGGAGCCTGCAATGGCTGTCACCCTTGGATTCGCAATACTTCTTGGCTCCAGCGATGCGAGACCTCAGACACGCGTTGTTTCAAGAGGGTGATCTTAAATTCAGATTCATGTTGGCATGGATCAAATCTGAGCCATGGTTCTTTGTTTAATAGGTGGCAAAGTCACGCTGACCATTTCAGATCGTTCTTCATTTCGCACTCTGAATACCATCCCTCGTCTTTCTTGATGGTGATAGTTTGACGGCTTGTAACCACCTTCTCAAGCTCAACCAAAAACTTGTCCTGAAGCAGTGTAACTCGAAAGCTATATCCCTTTCAGCAAGAAGACTTTTATATGTATCTCATGGATCACAACATTCAAACTCCGTATGAATGATTGGGAGAGGGTCCTTGTCCCAATTGGTACGCTGAAGCACCTCTGCCATGTTGTCCCTGGCCTTAGTGCCTTTGGACCACTCTTGGATCACCCACATAGGTACTTCCAAGTCTGTCCTTTTCTTCTTTGATGCTACCATCCGTCTGATACGGGCCTTTGCTGCTAGTTGCAGCTTTTCCTGAAGTTCAATCCAGAACGTATTCTAACAACACTGGGACAAAGCTAGTGACTTAGTGGTTCATAAAAGGAACATATAACTGCACAACCTTGCAGAAAAGTATCCCTACGGGTCTGCTCTCGACGAGGCTTGGATCCCGGAACAGGTTCCTCTTCAGCATCGTCACCAAAGGCCTCCATGGGCCGGGAATACAGGAGCACATAGGTTTTGTTTATGCTTGTTGGCTCAAACTCCCAGAAAAATAAGACAGCAATCTTCCAGAAATCTAGTTGAGTCTGCCTGAACCTCGCTCGCTTGAGAATGGTTAGTACCCTCATTCTCTGGTGGCTCTTCCTGTACAGACACTGAAGAAAAGGCCAAAGCCAGTTGAACAGAGAGGTCATCGGCTTGAAGTTCCTGAGAAGGGTTGGGTTTGCATGGATTTGTATCACACAAGGAGGAAGACAGAAATGATGGCAGAATTGTGTGATGATAACTTACAAAGCAAGAGTCATCATCGTCACAGTCATTGTACGGATCTTCATCCACTCCGGAGAGCGGGTACTCTTCTTCAGGAACCTGAAAGCACAAGTTGTGTTAAACAAACATGCCAAGTTGTTAGTAGAAGACTATATAGTGTACGATCATCTCTTTCTGTTGACAGGCGACGGTAGTGTCAGCAGTAGTGGCAACAGGGGAAGGCTCAATAACCTGCTGCTCCACACTGGGCAGCTCTTTGGGGGGGTTCCATAGTGATTTCCTGAGTCATCGAAAACAAACAATTGTTAAGCTATTGGCGTTAATCAAAGCAAAAAGACATCAGTCCCTGGCAGACGGACACACCTGCCCAAGTCGAGCTTCGATTTCCTGCAAGGCTGGGCAAAGGAATGGAAGAATGGTTGTTGGGCAGACAGTCCTCAATCTCCTTTAGAAGTTTGGATTCTTCATCGGCCATGGCATCATCCATGACTTCACCAAACCCAACTCTTAGTGTATCGCACGACCAACGCTTGGACATGACTACTGAGACTGCCCCTTGAAAACAGCCGAGTTTGCTGCGCAAAGCTTGGGTCATCCAACAATGCCTTAGACATGCCTGGCAAGTGTTTGGCCGACGTGAAAGAAAGACTACAAGAGGGAGGGAGAGAGACAGAACATGACAGAACTCCTTTTCTTTCTTTGATTGCTCGGAAGTTGCTAATTGCAAACAGCTCGTGGGTATTCCAACGGCCTTGATTGTGATTTTTTCCCTTTTCGAGTAGCATTCGGTGCACTAATCAAAACCAGGTTTTCGATTACGGGTAATTATGGGTTGTGTACGGGTAATTATGGGTTGCGTACGGGTTGGGCAGAACCAGGTTTTGCTGAAAATACGGGTTGTGTACGGGTAATTATGGGTTGTGTATGGGTAAAGCCAGGTTCTCACAGTCTTAAAACCAGGTTCTTGGCCCACATCCCGCTTTTCGACACCCTCGAAGCTTCAAAATGACTGCAAAAGCAGAGTTCTTCTAAACAAAATGGTTTTCGAATGTTCTCGAATGTTTTCGATTGCTTTCGAAACACACTTCCAACAAAAAGGACTCTAATTGGTGCTTTCTTCCCATGAATTTTGCCTTTCAGGCAGAAAGCTTGGAATGATTTCTTTCCAAGCCGGTGGCAAATTCAAAGTCTTGGCTCCCCGGATGTACTTGAAGCACTCGGCCAGGCGGGCCTGTGAGAAGTCAGATGTATCAGGCGTGGTCTGCATGGTCTGGGGGGCCGGTGGGATAGCCAACAGGTAGCAGATTCAAAAAGCACGCTCTCGTTCGCTTCAAATCGTCGTTGATGCGGGCGACAGCTTCTCCAAAGGGTTCTGGATAGATCCTAGGGTACTCGTACCACATTTAATGAAACTTCAATCGTGTCCACATGGAAGGGCTACCCATGAAACACTCAACCAATATAGACAAGCATCTCCGTTTGTTTCAAGAATTTGCTTCCTTTCCAGCACTTCTTTCCTTCACGATTTACATAAGCCACCGTGGTTTTAATCTTTGGTCGGTTCAATCTCTTCCACCCGATGTCGAGCTTTCTGATCCCACTTGCGTTGCTGTAAGCAACCTGACGCTTTGCTGAGGCTGCACCGTATCTCGACATCCACCACGTGACGCGATGGACCTTGGAGGAGCTAGCGATGGGCAAGTGGAAACAAATGAGGGAAACCCAGCTATAAACATATATGGCTTCAATTTGGATAAGTGGCTGGTGTTCCAAAGAGGTTGAGGAAATAGGTCATCATTCTCACCCATAATGGATAGAATTGCAAAACCGATGTCCCAGGCTGTTCTACCACCCAGGTTCCACAACAAGCTTGCACCAGCATCATCAAGCAAAGGGTCCTGACAAATCACACATGCATAGTCCATAGGCCTGAAACCCCACCCATCTCAAAAATGAAAACTCAAACATTCAACCGCAATGTCCTTTCAATCAAGGCATTCGTTGTGGATACGCTCGGATATTGGACATGACCCACTGCAAAGCATGGTGACCTCCCACTTGTGCCTTTGTTAACTGCCACCAGAGAAGAACATTTGATACCAAACCACGCTACGAAGCCAGGACCCCCTTTCAAAATGAAAAGGGTAGCCAACCTCAGGCCGGGCACATGAGGCGTTCAAGTTTTGCAGCAGCTACATGAAAAAGAATGTTTCCAACTAATCTAGTGGCAAGAAACAGAAAGCCACTCGGTTGAAGCAGGTCCATCCAATCCGAGCTGGTGCTTCCCAAGTTCTTGTTCTTAGACGTCTTTCCATACAGGATGTCAAATCTTGCTGACCGATTCCCAGCCTTTCGCATAGCTTTTGTCAAGTTCGCTCTCCCAGCGTAAAATTCCAGGAATTGGAACTCCTGCACCAGAAGCATCCAGGAGCGAACGTAAATCAGCAATCGTGGGTGAGGTCCGGTGATGGGGTGGAAACAAACGTGACCTCGAATCTGATTTTTCTTTGAAGAGAGGATGGCTCCAATGCTTTAAAGGCTTTACAGTATGCTTCTCCTTTTGTAAATCGTAGAGGCCTTCAGTGAACCACACCAGCACGACAAGCCACATGAAATCCTCAGGACGGACTAATCATGGAAGACGGGTACACATAGAAAAACAAACAAAGCCTGACAACTCATTTAAGACTTCTTGAATCAATGCCACTTCGGGCCTAGGCACTTTGGGAGCACCCAGTGCACGCAAAGCCCACAGGATGCCATCTAGATCCCTGTGCATGGCAAATCTAGGGGGCACTATTGTCGGCAAGGACCTTGTTTCCTGAGCCCGCACCTGTGGAGGGAACATGAGGGAACCATCATGCCGGTCAGTCATGGTGCTGAAGCATAACACAATGCACTCTGTCCCCCAAGCCAGCCAGGAGCACGACGAGTCTTGCCAATTCTTTGGCGTACGCGGCGTGTCCGGGAGGTCGGTGTGAAGCGGGGCATACGACATGAGACCTTGGCCGCGAGCGGTTTGACTCCACAGCCGAGGGGGGTTGAGGTCAGGGAAGTCAGGGACACGTGGTCCGAACAAATGATTGAAACCTTTTCTAAAACCCCCAAATTTGAGACTCAGCTATGTGCAAGTCCAACTGTGCTCAATTCCTTTTCCAACCAGTGGCTGCGAGTCGATTTCGTGCAGGCTTCAGCACTGCGATCTACGGTGGAGGCTGGGAAAGTTGTCCGTCGTCTCCCACCTTCATCCCCTTTTCTCCAGGAAAACATGAGAGAAGCATAGAGAAACAATATTACAATGACTTCTGGTACATATTGAGATTTTTCTCAGAAGGTTTGGGAAAAGGCCAACACCAAACTTCAACAGATTCCAAATGAAGCCGGCATCAGCCATCAAAGTATGCACAGTGTTTGCACTGTGATGGACAATACCCCGTACAATCCCTAGCTCCGGCAAAAACTTAGCAAGTTTGATCTAAGTCGAACTCAAGCGGTTCAAAGCCTCAAAGCCATGTGCTTTGTAAAACAGCACTCGCGCTTGGATCATCTCTTCATTATCAGGCAAATGAGGCTGCTTCTTGTCCAGATAGGAAGCCTGATGTGAACAGCAATTACAACAGATCAGAATAATCGTTTCTGTTAATTGAACATAATTGAACATAGTTGAAACACCATGCACTGAACAGGTTGTTTCTTTCTACTAAGGGGCAAAAAGCCGTGCACAGGACACCGCCGCGACGAGCTTCATTTGTTTGGACACCTTGACTGGGGACTTCAAGAAGCAAAAGTAAGCCACATCTTTCTCGAACTTCAGGTACTTGACACCACAAGCATAGCGAGACCAATAAATGTTGAGCCTGCTGGCGACCGTCCTGGCCGGCTCCAGCGCGGACTTCACCTGATCCTTGATGTCCAGCTCGAAGTCCACAGAGTTGACAAAGTCCACAATCTTCTGCACCCTGGCCTCATTCAAAGGCTTGTCAGACTCTTGAGGCGTCTCGGCCTTCGCTTTCTTCGCAGTGCTTCCTGATGCTGCAGCTGATGTGGATCGTTTTGGCGCTTTCTTCGGCGGCTCTTCATGATCCCCAAGCTCCGCTGAAGGTGCTGGCATAGTCTTCTGTTTCTTTGAGCTCTCAGCTTTTGTTTTGGCCTTCGCTGCAGCCTTGGTCTTGGCTGCAGGCTTGGCCTTCGCCTTTGGAGCCTGTGTAGGAGGCTTTCTCGTCTTATCATCCTCCTGATCATCCCCCTGCTCTGGCTCAAGGATTTCTCCATCTTCTTCCTCATCATTCTTGTCATTCTCTTCCGCCTCCTGTGCTTTGCGTCCCCGTCCCCGACCGCGCCCCTTACCACGGCCACGTCCACGTGTCTCGCCCTTCATGGCCAGCTGGTCTCGCCGTGTAACAACCTGCACCGGGCCAAATCTCATATATCATATTTGCGAGGATTGTTTTTACAATTAAAAAGATACTAGTTTGACGAAACATGCATTTACGGACTTTGGGCGCCAAACCACCCAAACGCCGTAAATGCACTTTGCAAGCACTGTGAAACTGTAATAGGGTATGCATGGCTCGATTTATGAATTTGGCAGGCCTTCATTTTGGATGGTGGTTCTTCAGAAGCTTCACGTGCTGGCGCAGGCTCTTTGGGAGAAGGATCAACCGGTGAGGCCGAAGGGAGAGTAAGCGGAGCAGGGCTGCTCTCAGCAGGAGTCACTGTAGAGGGTGTAAGTGTAGCATCACCAAGCGGCTTGTTCTGAAATTTGGCACGCCTTACCTCCGCTTTCTCATCAAATGACATCGGCTTAATAGGAGTCGGACCAGGAGTTGGGAGTTCCATGACATCCTGCACCTGAGTCTCCACGTTGTCCATAAGGCCTGGGGCATAGAGATAAGGAACCAGTGAGCAGATGTCAATCCACAACACATTTAACACATGTTTTTTTGTTTTATGGTTGGCTGCCTTCCACTGCTTTGAACTCAGCAGCCAAATTGCGGTTGGCAGGCTTCTCAAGAGCGACAACCTCCATCCTTCGCTGCTGGATCCTGGGCGTGAGGCTTGGCAGTTTGGTTTGAGGTCAAAAGCGATCCCGCCCACAAAGAAGAACGATGAAGAAAGTAACAGTAAGATACTGGCAATAATTATTGCCTATGGGTGTTTCTATCCAAGGTTCTCTAGAAGACGTGCCTGCTTTTGCTTCAGCTCTTGCATCAGGGTGTACTCAGAAAACTTCTCAGGTGGGCATAAGCCTCGTCATGACAAACAAAAACCTAGATCATCTCAGTACATACTCGTAAGCTCAAAAACATGCTCTAGAGCCCCAACAACCTTCAGCAGTCAGGAAACTCTCACGCGTAGAAGAAGTAGCTTCAGCAATGGAAGAAGCAACAGTTACACCCTTCTCAGGTGGGGCTGCTGCCTTCTCTGGTTCCAAGGCGACAGGAGCTGGGGCGGGAGGAAGCGGGACAGAAGCATGTGGCATGTCCCCACTTTTGGGCTCCATGGACTCTGGCTTGGACTCTTTCGGGTTTTCAACAAGACCACTACTGGCTGGGGTCGTCTCAGGAAGGGAGGCTGACTCCTTCGCGGCTGACTCCTTCGGCTCACGAGACAGGTCCACACAATCCTCTTCCTCCTCATCATCATCGGTTTCCTCAACCGCACTCTCGATAAAACAAACAACACCTTTCACAGCACGAAGCAGCATGTCCTGGGCATCGGATTCCATGGACTCTTTCTTCAACCGGTTATTCACGGCAGTCACCACTTCCTGATAAACAAGTTTGGTCTTGTTTAGGGGTAACCTTCGCTGTAAATATTGCATGGTGCTTAATCATTTGAAGTCCTCCAATTCCGGCTTGAAGATGACAACCAGCTCTTGAAATTCAGGAACCTGAAATCAACGTGGTTTGAAGGGTCAGGGTTAGTATGTGAGAAGGACCGGAAAAAAGCTTGAGACCAAGAAACCTGGCTGACTTCAGACCTCCCAGCCTTTCGCTTGATCAAGCGGAGCATTTTCCTCACCTCCCATGCCATATCATCGATCTCCTCGTCATGGATTTGACGGCTGCTCTTCTTGTAGACGTCCAAGACAGTGTCACGCAAGCTCTGGATGTCAGGAAGCTTTCCACGCGAGGCGAAGAGCCGCATGCATGCAGGAGTAAGAAGGTCACTGTTCGCTGCACACTCAGCCACAGAAGAATCCGGCAATTGCTTTGAGCCCACTTTGACACACAAGGGCTTGGTTTCCCTCAGCCTCAACCTAACGCTCTCCGTTTGGTCCCAATCATCAGCCAGCCTCTCACAATCAAATGTGGTAGACATGGCTGGTAAGAAAAGCGATGTTGAAACGTGAAACTCTGAGCCAAATGTGCTTAGCAAAAGATGATAGGTGGAAGCCATGTAACTTGTCAGCCCTTGCTCTGATGCAGGAGTCCAGCTGAGACGCTGGCAAAATTGGGCGGCCACAGGTTGGCGGAAAATTGACAAGCTGAGCCAATGAGAAGAAAAGAGACGGATGGCAGCAAAGCAGGGATGCTGAAGTAAGGACATGATAGGAGAACCCGGTTCTTGTGCACTCGACCCGACTTTCGAAAGATGTTTGTCAAGAACCCGAGTGTCGACTGTCGACCTGACTTTTTCCAGGATCTAGGCTTAGAGGGTATATATATAAGTATGTCCTAAGTATGTCCTTCGGTGGGGTTCCTGGGCTGAGATCGGTGCACGTACCATTGGCACTCCTGCACTCCTGCCACGGAAGAGATCGATTCTGGTGGGGGTAGAGATGTATGCAATGACCATCCCAGTTGGAATAGCTTTGGTGAAACCATGTAGGCTCTTGATTAGTAAAACCTCCCATTTGAATGAAACAACCTCTTTATATTAGACTCCTGATCAATCAAGAGTCTACATTAGCTTGTGGAAGCTTTTCCGGCGACCCTCCTAGTGGTCGAAACAAACCAAGCATTTCTTGGTTCGGGTCACCGTCCAGCGAAGCTCGTGCGGCGCCAGCCGCAGGCCGGTGGAGGCCTGAGAGCCAAACGGCTGATCCGGAGTATCCGGAGGTGAGATGTTCTGCTGGGCGTGGCCAGGAAAGAGGCTGATGATGCAATGATGGCAGAAGCAGAGCATGAAGGAGACGAGGGGGATTTTTCAAGAATCTGAATGTAGCAGGATTGACTCTTTGGATTCAACGCTTGCAGCCCGAAGGCATTTCTGGGGACACCATGGAAGCGATAAGTTGCCCCAAAAGATGATCGCGATTTATTTATAGATATTTATCACGAAAGGTAGCTTGAGCTACCTGAGTTCTCCTTGCTTTAGCAAAAATGTATTACAATCAGGAGTTGGGATTGTGCATTGAGTTTGGTCCTGTAGAGTTGATTCTGTTCGTCGGGGGGGGGGGGCCCCCCCCCCGGATCAAATCCCCCCTGCGCCGGTTCACGCCGTCCTGGACTTCTACCAGGGTTGCTTGTGATTGCCTGCTACCTTTCGTTCACCCCCTCCTCTCTCAAGTAGACTGATAGTACTGATGAGAAGACGCTAATTAATATGCATTGGTTTGCATTTTCATCAGTCTATCAGCCTGTATTATATGTTTTATCAGTCAAAATGTTTATTAATCACAAATCAGTCATGACGCACATTTATGTTGCATAATTGTTTTGGACGGCGGCCCATTTGGCCGTATGAGCGCGCGTTCTAGCGCGTCTCTCCTCCCAGGGGATGTGCGATTTCAATGTTTGACCTCAGCCCTTTTCGATATCCGCCCAGTCATGT